GCCCGGCGCGCTTTGGCTGGGGGAAGGAAAGCGCCGGCTTCGGGGTGAGTGAGTCCGTGTCTTTTTCATAAATCTCATTTCAAGAGTTTCAAGGATAACCCTCAGTTGTCGATAACAGCAAGCGGAAGGCTCCCGCGTGCTCTCGCAGCGCTTCGCCGTCGCTATTTCTAGGGTCGAAGCGACCGGGCCCCAGCCCTGGGGAAGAGAGGGCGTGGGGATCAGGTTTCCAGCTGGACTTAACAAAACTCTGGCCGGCTCCTGCTTAAACCAAGTGGATAGAGTGCGAGGAGTTAATAGTTAATACAATTGTGTTTTGTTTTTCCTTTTAGATATTTCCCGTCTTGTCCACGAAGTAACTTTCTGCTTAATTTCTGTCCTTTGCTTTGTAGGAGTTCTGCGTCCGGCTTTGAAATTTATACTTAAAGACAGAGTAGGAAGCTGGTGTTTTGAAGGTAAAGCAAGTGCACCAGTGGGGGTTTGAAGCAACGTCAAGCCATTGCCCAAGGTATCTATTTGTTGCTTTATTTCTACAGATTGGGATTAAAAAAAAAAAAAAAGTCACTGGAGTGTCTGTGTGAGGAATCTTATCTACTTAGTAGCTCCAACATTTCCTTTGGTGTGCAACAGAACTTTGATGGGTGCGTTGAGATCAGACACTTAATCAGATGTCTGTCCTTTTTGCTGATGATTTTCTGCTTGGTTCTGTAGTTCATAGATAAATAGACCGATATCTTTTAATTCATGTTTTATAAACCACGGACGGAATAACTTCAAATAACTTATTATTAAATATTAACATTGGTTTTCCTAAGTGATCCGATCCTGAGCATACTTGAGATGATGATAAAGCCCTGAATGAGTTATTTGAAATGTCGCGTTTCTGTCTCACAGTGGAATTTGGTTAATCTCTGAGTAGGTAAAGGATGAGTTATTTTGTGTGTGAAAATGAAGGCTTTTATATTGCATTTAGTGTGCTTTCTTCAGGGGTCCCCAGCTTGTTAAATTCTCTGTGATTACTCTTCAGTCAGAACTGATACTGTTTGCTGGGTGAATAGTGAAGAGTGCTACTTTTCACTGTACTTTATATTCATCAACTGCATCCACATGTTTTCAGTCCTGAGGGTGTGGAACTTTATAAGATGCATTTCAAGCCATAAGAACACTTAAATTTGGTCACCAAGACCTGTAGAAAGTTCTGTTCTAGAGACCATTATTGTAATCAGAGTTTCACTTTTGGTGTTTGTGTTTCAAGTTCACTCGGTCAAATTCTCCAACCTTATCAACTGTCATAAACAGTTGAACGTCCTTCTGTGGATTTATGTTTGTGGGGAGAAAAATGGCCTGTCTTCTTCTCTGGCCTGCTTCCCTCTCTCTCCTCTTTGATGCTGGGGCCTGTCAGTGTTGGCTGAACTAGAAAGCTGGAAGGGGCGGGGCTGTAGGGTGTCACGTGATTTATCTGGGGAGAGCAGCAATTTCTACCTTCCCAAAGTATCCCCAACTTAACCTGGGTCCCCAGAGGGAAACCATGAATGACAGTTGGAGATTTAAGAATTAGTTTAAAAATCCTGATTGGATAAAATGCCTCAGGTGAACACAAATAATGTCAACAGGTCTAGAATAAGTTTACTTTTCCCCTGTCTTTATTCATGTTGAGTTGTAAGAAGAGTTTGCTAAGAGTATGCCACGTGCAGGCTAGGTGTCTGGAGGAGGGGGGACTAAGGGACAAGGGGGAAAGGATGAAAGAAGAGGCAGAAGAAAAAGCAAAAGGAGAGATGCCGTGAGAGACAGTGAGCAGGTTGGGAGCCAAGGGGGAAATGTGAGGCTTAAGATTATGGCAGAAGGAAAACATCATTCTAAAGTTTTTCCTCTACCCACATGCACTTTAATGAGATGATGTATTATTATTATGTATTTCCCAGTCTTTTGAATCATAACCTTTACATTATACTGAGACCATTTGGGTTTTGTCTAGTCTGATTTATACAGCCTAAGACCATAGGGACTGTTTCTGCCATGGGCACCGTTGAATTCCTGGTGCTCAGGGGATGGTCAGCATCAATAAATATTTTTACACTTAATTCATGCCTGCCTGAAGTCCCAGACATCAAGTGCATTGATAAAAATGTTCTTGGATTTTTTCAGGTTATTGTGCTTCTCTGATATTTTCTTTCCACAGTTATACAGATTTATCCAGAGGTTACTTAATTGGTAGGTTTCAGGATTGATTAGACAACAGGCAGGCAGTGCTAAGCTAATTAAGTATATATATATGTTTTGCAAATTCAGATTATGTTTTAGCAGCTGCCTTAATAATCATGATGAAATATCAAGTCTTAGCATTGAATATAGCACTGAAATATAGCACTGAAATACTATAACTTTCAATAATATTATAAAACTAGTTTAAGAAAAATGGGAAACCCCATTTTTTTACCTTTTTACCTTTTACCTTTTTACCTCAAGAGGTAAAGAATCCACTTGCAGTGCAGGAGATGCAGGAGATTCCATTCTTGGGTCAGGAAGATCCCCTGGAGAAGGAAATGGCAACCTATTCTAGTATTCTTGCCTGGGAAATCCCATGAACAGAGGAGCCTGGCGGGCTACAGTTCATGGGGTCACAAGAGTCAGACACGACTGAGCATGCACATGCAACGAGAAAAAAAAAAAGTAAGCAAAGAAAAAAATAAAACAAAAAGAATTTCCCAGTTAGTTCTAGGAAACAGTTTATGCATGCCTTTCAATTAAGTGAGCTTAAAGTTTCCTTTTATCATTTCTATTAAGTAAAGGAAATAGTCTTAAAGATTCCATTACAAGCTATTTTTTTCAGTTTCTGTTTCCTCTATTTTTATCAGAAATATCTAACATATAATTATAAAACTCAGAACTTCCATTTTATTGATAGTTTAAAAAGCTCAAGTCCTTTTGATTCTCTTATTAAGCTTCAAATCTTAACAGTTGGTAAGGATTTGGCAAGTGTATAAGCTGATCTTGAGGTGTTTTTTTTAATATAACATTTTTTTTAAAAAGATGAAAAAAGGTCTCAACTAGAGAGGGTATAAAAAAGTATTACCAGAAATAATGTATGAGAAGAATTCCATATGACCGTTGACAGACTGTCAACACACAAACCTTCTAACTAGTTCAATTCATATGTTTTATAAAAATTTTGTTTAAAATTTGGTTTCTCCAATAGTTTGCCTACTGTTGCCTATCTTTTCTGTGTAACACCCTTTGTTTTTTTCTAGGAAGCATATGATTCGTGACCATTGCTAAATCAATTATGAATGAAAGGGAAAAGAGAAAGAGGTGCTACTTCACTTATCCAATCATTGCCAACCTTGAATAATCTAATTCAGAATCCAGGGTGACATAATCATGGAAAAGAAACAAAGTCCAGGGAGGTTGAAATCATAAAATACTACTTATTTTAATATTAATAGATAAGAAGTTTCTTTAAAAAATATAAGTTGGGAGCTATATGTTGGAGTGGAATGGACACGGTTTATAGTCAGACACATGTGGGTGTGGCTTCCGGCTACTCTACTGGTTGGGAAGTTACTGAACCCATCTGAACACCCATATCATCATCTGTAAAATTCAAAGAGCTCCACAGATATTGCTTCATTGTTCTGAGGGCTTAAATGGTGTATGCAAAGTTCACAGAATTTAGTAGGTGCTAAATAAATAGTGCTGCAGTCCATGCGGGGGACTGCTCTGTCCGTGGTGTGCTGCAGTCCATGGGGTCACCATGAGTCAGACATGACTGAGCGACTAAACAACAATAGCAACAAATAAATGGTAGGCATTATAAAGAAGTTTTCTGAATGCTAAAACTCTTGGTGGCATTTTACAGTAGTTTTTTTGGAAATAGACCCTTGCTTTTTAGACTATCTGTTTCAGCACAACAGGAAGAATTCATTTAAAATGTAAGTCAGAGTTTGTCATGCCTCTCATCTCCACCAAGCCGGAGTAGAAGCTTCATCTCCCACGACGGCTAAGAAGACCTCTGCTTCTCCCCGCAGCTTGTCAACCTCTCCTCTGATGGAATACAGCCTTCCAATAAAAAGACATTCTTTGTTTCCAAACTTGAGTAGAGTGCGTTTCATGTAAAAATATTGTCTGATTCTGGGAGCTGTGTAGTTTCATTATCTTGTCATTTGAATTATATTTAATTGGTCTTAAACACTTGATTTTACTGTTGTTCAGAGAAAGGCTGTATGCTGGTGACCTCCACATTGCTCCCTTGGTATTACTATTTCCTGCAGTGAATGAAATGCTACAGTAAATTGTGTTCAGCTGAAGTTGTTTGTGAAAGCATTTTCAATGAATGACTGTGGGAAAGGATTTGATATTATAGCTTTTTGACTTTTCAGTTTATCTTCCCCCTCCTTTTTCTGGATAAACAACCATTTTTGGTTCTTGATAATTTATTTAGACAAACACTCCTTGGAGGTAGCACTGTTGGTAGATATCAGTTATAATGTATTTTCTAAATTAAAATGGAATATTTTAATCAGGAAAAAAACTATTGACAAGTGGACCTTATGGGATGTATAAGGCCTTTCTAAGTAACTCTCAAACTTTGACCATAAAAGTTTCCTATTTCTTCAGCTACAAGATAAAGGGGGTTGATTTTATGAAATAATACCTCTTTAAGGCTATATCCCTCATAGCTCAGTTGGTTAAGAATCTGCCTGCAATGCAGGAGTCTGCCTGCAATGCAGTAGACCTGGGTTCGATTCCTGAGTCCAGAAGATCCCCTGGAGAAGGAAATGGCAACCCATTCCAGTATTCTTGCCTGGAAAATCCCATAGACAGAGGAGCCTGGCGGGCCACAGTCCATGGGATCACAAGAGTTGGACACGACTTAGCGACTAAACTAAACTTAGCGACTTTAGCGACTTAGCCACCACCAAGGCTATAATTTAATAAAGGAGAATTTTGTAGTAAGAGGCTTTTCTTCCTTTCTCTCCCTTTTAGAGTGAACTATATCAGAAGAAATGAGCCTTTCATTCTGCGGTAACAACATTTCTTCCTATAATATCTATGATGGTGTGTTACAAAATCCCTGCTTTGTGGATGCCCTCAACCTGGTTCCTCATGTCTTCCTGCTGTTTATCACTTTCCCAATATTGTTCATTGGTAAGTAACCTACTGTCCTACAGTTCATCACCTAGTGGTTACAAGAAGAGTCTTTTTAATGGCTTGAGATTAGGTATAACGTTGCTGTAGCTTCTCCAGTGTGAGAACTAGCATGTAAGTTTGTAGGAAAATGAGCAAGTATTATATTTTCTGTTTTCCAATTACTTTTGTTTTTGGCTCTTGATATTCTATAGATAAGCTTCCCAGTTTGCTCCTGCCTGTCAATGTAGGAGACTTGGGTTCATTCCCTGGGTGGGGAAGATCTCCTGGAGAAGGAAATGGCAACCCACTCCAGTATTCTTGTCTGGAAAGTGCCATGGACAGAGGAGCCTGGTGGGCTATACAGTCCATGGAGTTGCAAAGAGTCAGACGTGGCTTAGCGACTAAAGAAAAACAAAATTCTATAGATAAATAACAAAATTATTATTTTTTATTCTATTTATTTTTTTTCACCATGAGTCATGTGGGATCTTAGTTCACTGACTGAGGATCTAACGCAGGGTCCCTGAACTGGAAGCCCAGAGTTTTAGCCACTGGACAGCCAGGGAAGTCCCCGCAAGCCTTCTTAGAAATGGACTTTCAGTAGCAGCAGTTTCTAAAAAGAGGGAAAAAAATTATCTGAGATAGATCAAAAGTATTTGTTGAGTGCTTTCTTTGTGCTGGGTGAAGAGAATGGAAAATGGGTAAAACACAGTACCTGCTTGGAATAGTCGCAGGAGTTTTCCAGTGAGATAGTAGGTCAAAAAGTCAAAAGAAATGCCTGTACCACCTTGTAAACACTTTTACAGATACAGGAACAAATTATCCTGAGCTTTAACCCACTGGAGCAACTAATTCTCAAGGCTGGTGGGGACTATGCAAAGAGAGACATGTTTGGGGACTTGAAAGATACAGAGAGTGCATGTAAAAGTAGGATGTGTTTCAGGTAAAAGGAGTACATGAGCAAACTATTTAGCAAGAAGTTAACAATATATAGTTTGCCTGTTTTAAAGTTTGAATGTTTATACACACAAAATCCAGTTATTTAGAGCGATTATGTATAATTTGTGTAACTTTTCCAAAACAACCAAAGTAGACCTTAGAGCATTTTAAAATTATAAAATATTTTTTCATATATAAAAATGCAGAGACTAATATAATAAACATCTATTGACATTGCCAAAGTCACTTTAAGGGATCTCATGGAATAAATACCATTTCCTGACCTACTTACTTTTCCCACATCCTGTCTTCCTATCCTTTTTTATAATGGAGAAATGACCAGACTGATTAAGAAATTCAGCATAATTTAAGGATCTGCTTTAAAGAAAGGTTTAAAAATAATTTGTAAGCTTCTTTTTCTTCATTGAACAAATCTTAATATAGAGATTACTATGAGCCTGGCATTCTAACAGTGACCAAAGGGTTTCACTTATATGACATACATTATGTAGAAGCTAACATAACTCTTGGTATGTAATTATTCACTGCAAACAAATGCATAGACCTAAGATATATTGGGACCAGAGTGGCCATACACTTGTTCTTAAATGTGTGGTGACAAATTTGTAACACATTACGAATGTCCTCTGGACACAATTTTTGAGGCCCTATCCTACTGTGTTCCCTCTTTGCCTGGCAAAGAAATAAAGCCACTCTTTTCTTCTCCATTAGAAAAAAAGAATGCCCTTAGGCCCAAAGTAGAGCATTCTTTTTTATTGTATTTCTCTGGTTAATAATTCCTTTTTGACATCCAGTTAACTTACTAAGAGCAATTGTTATCGAACACAGAAGCTTGCAAAAGGGTATTTGAATCAATGGAATTGAAACTAACATTGTCGAAGAGAAATGGCTAAAAATGCAGACTATTTATAATGTTGGCTATTTGGGTTAGTGAGAAATCACAAATAAATCTCAAAGAAGTATCAGGTATAAGGAAAATTACAGTGATGCAAAGAAGGCCAGAGCCTGCCTGCAAGAGTTTAATAGCATAAATTATAGTAGAATATGTTAAATGTAACTAGTTTTCAAATAATGAAGTTCTTTTTGGAATAATTTAGAGGTGAATCAGTATTCTTTTCAAAGAATGCTTCAGGGGTCCATTTTGTCCAGAAACAGAAATTTCTTCTTCCAGTACTTTTAGCACTCATACCCCTCCCAACCCTGTTCATTCTTGAAGTTTATGGGATTTCTCTATATTTGAAAAATTGAGGGGGGAAAAAAAAAAAACAATGGTGACAAGAGACACAAGTAGGGTCTTGTCTTAGCACGTCATATATGAGTTGGCATTACGCTGTTTTTGAGGGGAAACCAACAAAATTTTCTAACATATAATCTGGTAACTTAATTTTTTTCTTCAATGAAGAGCTAAGGGTGAACCTGTAATGTTCTTGAACCTCCTTAAAGTCTCATCAATGAACAAAGCTTTAGCTTTCTTTCAGAAAATATCAGCAGCATTGTTGAATGGTGCCGGCTGAGTCGTAGGTTATCATTTTTATTCCATGACGAGCATGTGAGTAAGAGTTGATACAGCCAGTGGGCCCTGTATCTTGTCACCAAGTGTGGCCATTTTATTTTTTTGGTTAGGCCTCCCACAGATCCCATCTTTTAAAAGATTTGAGACTTTGAATTGCTTTTATTAACATCATCATTAATTTATTTTTCTTTTGAATGAATGAGATCTGTCAATAAGAATTGTGATGAGCATGAAATAACCAGGTTGTCACCCAGAGTTTGTTATTCCTGAGCTAGACAACAAAGTTGATGTATTAACTTAGGCAAGCTTGGAAGAATCCTTTGAAATTATTCTTTTTTTTTTCTAGCATGACAAAAATAGAGAAGGATTTCTGTTGCTACCCTAGAAAGAAATAAGGTTTCAGGACCCCCTCTCCCCCATCCGCAAAGCATATCACAGTGTAAATTATTTCCGTGATTAGAATTGATTCCTTATTTCCTTACCTTTTCCTCTTTTTTTCAGGGTGGGGGAGTCAAAGCTCGAAGGTACAAATTCATCACAACACATGGCTTCATTTTCCTGGACACAACCTGAGATGGATCCTTACATTTGCCCTCCTGTTTGTGCATGTTTGTGAAATAGCGGAAGGCATTGTTTCAGATTCGTAAGTGACTCCATTTAGTTAATGGGATAATGCTATCCTGGTGGACATGTTGATATGGATAGTAGCTAATAGCATACCAAGTCAGCCTTAACTTTTTGGTTATAATGTATTAGGCGCCACAGCAGTCACCCATTTTATGCAGTAAATATGCATATTGTCCTGTGTGTTCAGTACTGTATCCTTTCTCTGCTAACACAAGTTCAGATCCCTGGGGTCTGTGCTCATTGCTATGCTTTCTGTTTCTTTATCTACATAGCGCTGGCAGAAAGTTTTCTCCATTTAAACACCTCAATGATTATCTTATTTTTCAAAACAAATACAAATGGTAAGAACGATTGTCTATATTAACATAGAGCTCTAAGTGGTGTATTTGTTGTTCAGTTGCTAAGTCATGTCCTACTCCTTGCGACCCCATGGTCTGCAGCATGCCAGGCTCCCCTGTCCTTCATTATCTCTCAGAATTTGCTCAGATTCACATCCAGTGAGGTGGTGATGTTATCTAACCTTCTCATCCTGTTGCCCTTTCTCCTCCTGCCCTCAATCTTTAAGAGCATCAGGGTCCTTCCCAATGAGTTGGCTCTTTGCATCAGGTGGCCAAAGTATTGGAGCTTCTACAGCATCAGTCCTTCCAATGAATGTTCAAGGTTGATTTTCTTTAGGATTGACTGTTTTGATCTTGCCATCCAAGTCTAATTTATTTATGTATAAATATATAACTAGTTCTCAGATATTTCGATTTATTTTGTAAAACTGCAGAGATAGATGAGGCAGGCGTTAAAAGAGTCTGAGACTCAATGAGGATATGACTACAAATTGAGGCAGAGTACATAGTTATTTCAAAATCATGATTTGTGATAAAACCCCTATTTTTAAAGGAATTTTGTCTTTCTTATAAAAGAAGTTTATATTAAGCAGTTAGAATGTAATGAATTCTATTTATAAAGCTGAACATAATGCATGATACTATTTTTATTACATAATAATAGAAAATAAACTCAAATAATAGGAAAACTTCGATTATTATGCTAAATGGTGTATCTTTCACTGAAGAATTGATAGGAAAAGATCTTTGAAGTCTACGAAATGAAAGCTTCAAAACTCATTTTCTTCTTATCTAATAAGAACCTCCCCTGACATCTGTTTATGTTTTTCTGTTGTAATTAACAAGGAGTGAAACTTGGAGACTTTTGTCATGGAGCCATCTATTTTGTAATGTTTTATGACAGTTCTTTGCATACATGTGCACATCTTAGTTTCTGATTAAAAGAAAAATTAAAGACCCTAAGTCTCCTCTCCAAGCATTTAGAAGCTTATCAGCCATTGTTTTATTGAGAATTGCTTACAATTCTTTGGCATATTAACATTATGTTGTATTAGCATAGCCAATTTTAGTCTTCATTTTTTAATTCCATTACCATATGGGCTGACTCTCCATGTTGTTATGTGTTTGTATAAAGTGGAAGATAGTAGAAGTCTCATGAGTCCTATGCTCCTCCTTTCCAGCCTCATGTTTGATGTGTAGGTTCAGAGACTTTAGGACAGAGGCTGAGGACATGTACTTATGGGGGAAACCTGTTTCACAGCGGTAGTGATGCAAGAGACCCATGCTTAAAACAAGCAGAAGTACCCTCTTGATCTTGTGTACCCTCTCCTGTTCTTTAGCTACAGACTCTTATCCTTGCCCTTTTCATCCAGAACTCCTAAAAAGATGTCTTTCAGGGACTTCTCTGATGGTCCAGTGGTTAAGACTTTGCATTCCAATGCCGGGGGCATGGGTTCGATCCCTGTTCAGGGAACTAAGATCCCTGCAAGCTAGGGTCTTGCTAAGGCAAGACCAGGGGGAAAAAAAAGACATCTTCCAGTATTTCTAAATAACTGGAAGATTTAGTTTAGTTTCTCTCTTATCTTGTCCTAGTCTGGAAGCTGCTTCTACAAGAGTGCCAAAGAACATTAATGACACTTTTGTGGGTATTTTTTCCTCTTTAACACACTTATTATATTAAGACCCTGCTGATTATGCCTTCCTTCTTTCTTTTTTTTAAAACAAAACTTTATGAACTATTTTTTACTTAAAATAGCACAGATGTTTACTGTAGTTTCACTGTAAGTGAAATAATGCAAAGACTTTCCTAATTGAATATTGGATTTTTTTTTATTAATAGTAATACAAATATTAAAGCTATTGATTTTTCTTTTGAAACATCCTGTTTTACACAGGTTTTCTTAAGAAGTGTTCTCTTTTTTACTTCTGCCTAAATAATTTGTAATTCTGGTGAAGAAACACTCCTAGGCCTAGGAATCATTTTTAGTTTGCTCTTCAGTATAATTTGATTAGTTTATTACTAAAGCATGTCATTCATTAAATGAATGCCTTTGGGAATTTATTAGCATTTTCAAGATAGTCAAATATTTGGTTTATTAATATAATTAACAAGCATTAAGAACTAATATATATTCTTTTTAGAAGACAAACTTTTATTGAATTTACTGATTGGATTACTGAAGTCCTTGTGTTGATTATTTTTTACTATTTAATTCTTCAAATTATAAAAGTGTGCATTAAAATCACTATTACTGTGTTTTCATTTAGGTTTTTATTTTCCATCATTTTCTCTTTTCTGAAATTGTTTGTTTTCTATGATATATAGTTGTTGGTTTTCTCTTGAACTTTCCTGACTAAAGATTTTCTACCATTATGGGATGTATATGCTTCAATACTATATATCTACCATTTGATTATATATATCAGAATACTAAAGTCTGCAAATTATTCTCTAAAAATAGTAGTGTAGTGTAGTATTAGTCATTCAGCCATGTCCGACTCTTTGTGACCCCGTGGACTGTGGCCCCCCAGACTCCTCTGTCCATGGGATTCTCCAGGCAAGAACACTGGTCTGGATTGCCATTCCCTTCTCCAAAAGATAGTAGGGGTTAAAGGAAAGAATAGGGTTTGGGGCACCACTCAACCCTATACCACTTTATAAGGAGAGCAGTAACACTATGAAAGGAATCAATGAAAGCACTAGTATGGTTAAAAATCACTAAAAACGAAATGCTATAAATATAAACCTCACTGTAGCTTCTGCTGTCTTTATTAACCCTTCATTACTGCCTTCCTTACTGCTGTTTTTCTTTTTCTAACATCTTGAATTGACTACTTAATTTATTTATTATAATAATTTCATATTGAATTTGTTTAAGATTACAAACTTTCTTCCGGGTATGGTTTTAAACCGCATTATATAGGCCATCACAGATAATATGCTTATTTAAAAATTTTCTAAATATTAATTATTTTTTTAATTCTTTCTTTTCTTTAATAATTAAAGAGTATTAGAAGCATTTTAAATTTTTTACTGATGAAATATTTATTTTCTATTTTTTCTTTTTGATTATTTGAACTATTTCTGGGAGGTGGTGGGTGGTTTGTAAGCCATCTCTTACATGATCATAATATTATCACATTTTCATTATCCTGTCTGTATTCACGACTCCAAATCTCTGCATACACTTGCCTGTTAGACAGCTTCTTTTGCAGATTTATCAGAAACTTCATAATGCACACATTCCTGTTGAAACGTGTTAGCTTCCTCTCTTCAATGGGCTTTTCCTCTCAAAATCTTATTTGGTCGTGCCATCATCTACTCAAGCACCCTGGGGATTATTCGCCCCATTGCCGTCACCATCACAGTCATACTCAAACACTGTTAAAAGTCCTATCCATGTTGACAGTCTTTTCCGAAGGTATTATTTCCTCCATGTTACTGCTGGCAAAGCTTAACTTGGGCTTGCGTCATCTCTCATCTGGTCTCTCCCCATAGCTTCCTAACTACTTTCCTTCCTTTGTGTCTCTCCTCTCACCTCAAACACGTATTACATGTTAACTCCATTATCGATACTACTATTACCAGATTGATCTGTTTCTAAAACCCTAATCTGATGGTCCCACTTCCTTGTTAAAGTATTTGTGTTTTCTGCAAGATTAGATTTCAGCTCCTTGCCACAGCACATGAAGCCTTTCATAATATATCCAAACTCAAACTTTCTATTTAAGGGACATTAAGCTGCTTGGAATTTTTCCCATTCTATTCCCTGCTTATTAAGTGTTCTTCCACCAGTTTCCTGATGAGTGGATTCCCTTTTATATTTCAGTTCCCATTGTCAGCTATACCTCTCCTGAAATGACCTTCCCAAATTGTTTCTCTTTCCCGCATTCTCAGACTACTTACTTTCTTCTTAATATCATTTGTGTACTAATACATTTAAATCATTTGAAAAAATGTAAATGTTTAGCTGTATGGCATTTTTAATACAAATGGAATTGAGGGCTATCTGCACATTGTCCTGGCATATTTCTGATCTAACTGAAGCTCTTTGTTGCCCTCAGAATGAAGTGTCATGTCCTTGCAGTCACACTGAATTGCTTGAAGTACCCTTGAATGGTTTCCCAGGTGGCTCAGTGGTGAAGAACCTGCCTACCAATGTAGGAGACGTGGGTTCGATCCCTGGGTCGGGAAGATCCAGTGGAGGAGGAAATGGCAACCCCACTCCAGTAGTCTTGTCTGGAGGACCCCATGGACAGAGGAGTCTGGTGGGCTACAGTCCCTGTGGTTGCAAAAGAGTCTGACACAACTGGGCGACTAAACAGCTTGAACATATCTAGACTCTCTGCTTGGAACAGTCTTCCTCTCCTTCCTCTGAGTAGCAGTTCCTCATTCTTAAGGTCTCAGTTTAGAAGTCACTTCTTTCAGGGCTTTCTCTGTTTCAGGCGCTAGTTCTACATGAATTCCCAGTCCCTTCACCTATGTTAGAATTTCCTGTTTCCAGTTGTTCTTCTCAGCGGACTCTAGACTTTGTGATCACAGTCACTATATCTTATCTTGTTCATTGTCGTATCCCACCAGCTAATGCAGTGTCTGGACCAACAAACATATACGTGTGTTGAATGAATTAATGAACATGGAGAAATCATTGAAGACCATGAATGAGTGAGTGAGTGAGTGAAAGTCGGTCAGTTGTGTCCAACTCTTTGTGACTCCATGGACTAATACAGTCCATGGAATTCTCTAGGCCAGAATACTAGAGTGGGTAGCCTTTCCCTTCTCCAGGGGATCTTCCCAACCCAGGGATCGAACCCAGGTCTCCAACCCAGGTCTCCCACATTGCAGGAGGATTCTTTACCAGCTGAGCCACAAAGGAGGCCCATTGAAGACCATAACGTTTGGGAAAACTATCAAAAGAATAAATGTATTTTCACATACAATAGCGTTCATATTCAGTTTATTGTTTTTACTTGCTTTAGGTTAAATTATTTCAGCGGTTCTGCCTTTCAATATAGGAATAGTTATCTATTTGCTTTTGTTGTAAGCATTGTAATGTCTTGTTTAGCTGTATTTATCCAACCTTCCATGTTAGGATAAACCCTTTCAGCAGAATTATATTTCCTTGGGTGGCTCATTTCCTGGTGGCTCATTGGTAAAAAATCTGCCTGCCAATGCAGGAGGCATGGGTTCGATCCCTAAGTCAGGTAGATCCCTTGGAGAAGGAAATGGCAAACCACTCCAGTATTTTTGCCTGGGAAATCCCATGGACAGAGGAGCCTGGCGGGCTATAGTCCACGGGGCCACAAAGAGTTGGACATGACTTAGTGATTGAGCACTCAATGTAGTCTTCATTGTCTGTTCTCTTAGCATTCTGTATATAAAATACCTCATTCTGCATTTTAAATATTGGTAAGGGAGCATTTTAATGAAAAAAATTGGAAGCAAAAATGAGAAACTGTCTGGAACCTTCAGCCGTAGTCACTGACACTTTACCACTCTCTGTAGACGGCGGGAGTCGAGGCATCTCCACCTCTTCATGCCTGCGGTGATGGGATTTGTTGCTACCACCACATCCATAGTATACTATCATAACATTGAAACATCAAATTTTCCTAAGTTACTTTTAGGTGAGTATGATCAAGTGCTGTTTTTTTTTTTCCCCCCAAAGAACTATTTGATTTTCTTTTTCTTCAGAGTAAATGCTCTCAGCACTGGTTGGACTGGAAGGCATGGGAAAACCAAAATAATTAATTCTCTTTAGTCTCCCATTCAATGTGGAGATGACATCAGCTGTTTATTGCTCTAGGCTGTGAAAACTCCGTCCCCTGAGGACATCTAATGAGCAAGTCATCTCAGCTATTTCTGTGTATTTCTGCCTCTGGCTTGGGCGTCTTGAGGCATTTCCAAAGACCCAGGTCTTTCATGATGGATTCTGTGGGCATGGCACACTCTTCTTGGGATTTCTGTCGAGACAGAAATAGGGGCACAGGGGGAGGCTCTATGCAGCAGAATGTGCTCCATTGTATGCTGACAACGATACTGTCCCGAGCAACAGCTGCCCCCAGAGCACAGCCCCTCACCTCGGCATCCTGCTTAGCATTCTTTTTTCTTTTTTTGGCTTTAAGTTGTTGTTTTTTTCATTTATTTTTATTAGTTGGAGGCTAATTACTTTACAATATTGTAGTGGGTTTTGTCATACATTGACATGAATCAGCCATGGATTTACATGTATTCCCCATCCCGATCCCCCCTCCCACCTCCCTCTCCACCCAATCCCGCTGAGTCTTCCCAGTGCACCAGGCCCAAGCACTTGTCTCATGCATCCAACCTGGGCTGGTGATCTGTTTCGCTATAGATAATATACATGTTTCAACCAGATCTGAAAGAGACACGTGCACCCCAATGTTCATCACAGCACTGTTTATAATAGCCAGGACATGGAAGCAAACTAGATGCCCATCAGCAGATGAATGGATAAGGACGCTGTGGTACATATACACCATGGAATATTACTCAGCCATTAACAAGAATTCATTTGAATCAGTTCTAATGAGATGGATGAAACTGGAGCCTATTATACAGAGTGAAGTAAGCCAGAAAGATAAAGAACATTATAGCATACTAACACATATATGGAATTTAGAAAGTTGGTAATGATAACCCTATATGCAAAACAGAAAAAGAGACACAGATGTACAGAACAGACTTTTGGTCTCTGTGGGAGAAGGCGAGGGTGGGATGTTTCGAGAGAACAGCATTATTTTTTCTAAGCCTCTCTTGCCTTCTTGTCCTGTGGAAATCAGAGACTGTCTAAACTTTTCCCTATTTTATATCCTGCTTTATGCTGAAATGATTGAACTCATCCCCAATAGTTCTAATACTCTGATTCTTCCTTGCATTCTTTGGTGGACACTTTCATACAGAAAGCTGAGATGAAGATTACAGAACATGGATTATGCATGGGTTGCAGGGGCCTCCATGTCCTCTAAAATGGTAGGCAGGATTGTATGTGTTTGCGTGAACGTTTAGTTTTCTAAGGTTTATGGATTTAGTTTGATTGCTATTTGATGAAAATGACATCAACTACTGATATTGCAATTAGGAAAAGGAATAATTAAACCACGCAAATATAATTTTATTTGCATATCCAGCAGGCATTAAAATTTGAAGTGAATAAGTGATAAGTGCTGTTTATTTAATTCTGTGTTGCATCACGTTATATGATGGTAAAGGTAATCAAACAACGACAAGTTGTCAAAATTAAAAATTAACTTAAAAGTCTTGTCCAAATCATAATTATCTTAATAGAAAGCTGTTTGGTTCAACATGGTAGGCAGATATTGTCAGAGAAATCTTTTGATACAGATGCCCAGAAAAGGCAACAGCAAAAATAAATGTAACATTGGGAATTTGATACTCTAGACAATGTTTCTGAAAAACTGATGAGTATATAAGAGTTATAAGATGTGATTAGAAAGGAAATGTGCATTTTAATAATATTTTGAGAATTGAGGGTCAAAATCTTGCTCTAAATTTTTATGTAAATACAAGGCAGAGGGCACAATCTGATCATGTTTCTGGAAAGACTTATAGAATTGTAAGAATTATAAGAATTATAAGGACTTACAGCTTATCTAATATTTGTTTACTTTAGGAGAGGAATATTTGGATCTAGAAGAGTCACACATTTTTAGAACACAGAACTAATAATTTTGTCCCAGCATTACATTATAAACACCACCAAACATACAGAAAATGGAAAGAATTATATGAATACTCATTTTCCTACCACCTAAATTCTTCTATTATTTTCTTCTATTTGTTTTATCAAATATCTGCTTTCCTCTATTCATCCATCAATTCATCCTAATTTTTTGATGCAGTTTAAAGTGTGTTGCAGGAATTGATATTCATCACTTCCTGACTATTTCAGCATGCACATTATTTGCTAAAGTTAAATATTTGCAGTTCTTTTTGTGAGATAAAATTTACATACCAAAGTACAGAAATCTTAATTTACTAAATGCACACAGCTGTATAACTCTGTAATGATCTAAAATGTTGCCGTCATCCTTGAAAATTTTCTTGTGCCCCTTACTAATCAGTCCTTTTTTCATCTCTGTAGAGGAGCATCTAATCTGATTTTTTCTCACTGTAGATTAGATTTGCCTGTTGTAGAACTTCACGTAGATTGAATCATACAGTGTAAACTCTTCTCTCTAAGACTACTTTCTTTCAGCAGTATTTTTGGAGGCTCATCCATAATGTAGTTTCAGTTGTATTTTGTTCTTGTGATTCTTGGGTCATATTCTGTTATATACCACAAATATTCCATAAATATGCTACAGTTTTTCCATTCTCTTGTTAATAGCCTCCTGGACTGTCTCCAGATTTTGACTATCATGAAAAAAAAACAAGCTGCTCTAAACATTCATGTGCAAGGGTTTGTGTGTGTGTGTGTTTGTGTGTGAATCTGTGTTTTATTTCTCTTGGGTACATACCTAGGAGTGGAATTGCCGGGTCAGAGGGTAAGTACATAAATGTTTATATTTGTGAGAAACTACCAGATCATTTCTCAATGGTTTATTTTACACACACTAACAGCCTATGGGAATTCCAGTGGTTTCACATCCATTTGAAGATCTTGATTTTCTAATTTAGCCATGCTGGTGTTTACTAACACACTGTGGTTTTAATTTGCATTTCCCTGATGACTAATGATCTTGAGCACTTTTGATGAGTTTATTGGCCATTTGTTATCTTTGTGAGGTGCCTGTTCATATTTCCTGCCCACTTTTTATGGGATTGCATTTTTTTTATTGAGCTGTAGCAGTATTTTGTATATACTAGACACTAGTATGTCATTAGACACATGTTTTAAGAATATTTCCTTCCCAGTCTGTGGCTTGCAAGCTCATTTACTTAATAGGGTCTTTTGATGAGCAGAAGATTTAATTTTCATGTGGTATAATTTATTATATTTTCATGTAAAATTACTGCTCTGTCTCTTAAGAAATCTGTGCCGTCCCTCAAAATATATTTCCCACATATACTCTTGTTTTATTTATTTTTAGAACCTTTATAGTTTCAGTTTTTATTTTAGGACTGTGATCCATTTGAAGTTATTTGTGTGGCTGGTATATACGGTTGGTGTCAAGTTACCTTTTTTCCCAAATGTATGTCTTATGTGTTTGAGCACCATTTGCAGAATAGACTTTCCATTTCTCATTGGATTGCTTTGGGACCTTTGTAAAAGATTAAAGCAAGTGACTGTTTAAATATAATCTATTTCTTGCCTCTATATTTTCCATTCCCTTAATCCATTCATGGACTTTTATGTCATCACTATTCTGTCTTGATTACTATAACTTTGGAGGTCTTGAAGTCGTTGTTTGATTATATAGCTTGTTTTCTTTGTTTTTCTCCCAAGACTACTTTGGAGAGTTTAGTTCTTTTTCATTACCATGTGCAGGTTAGAATCAGGTTATCAGTTTCTACTGAAAAAAAAATTCGTGGTGGGGTTTTGATAGGGATTGCCCTGAATGAACAGAACAATTTGGGGGGAGAAATGACATCTTAGAAATATTGAGTCTTGCAGTCCATTATCTACTTTTATAGATCTTTCATTTCTTATAGCAATATTTTTTAGATTTTAATGTAAAGCTTTTTTATGTCTTGCTAAAAATTATTACTAGCTTTTTTGTTTACCATTGCTATTATAAATGGAATTGTATTAAAATTTTTATTTTCCAATTGTTCTACCATTGTATAAATGCAATTGGTTTTGTATATTGACCTTGCATCTTGCTACCTTGGAAATTCAATTAAAAAATAATTAAAATTACTTTAACTTATTTCTCTGTAAGTTTTTTGGGATTTTCTACATAAACAAACATACCATCTGAAAATAGAGGCAGTTATATTTGTTCTTTTCAAACTTTATGCTTTCTTTTTTATTTTTCTTGCTGTATTGCACTAGGGAGAATCTCTAGTAAAATGCAGAATAAACGTGGTGAGAGGAAATCCTTATCTAGCTCCTGATTTTAGAGGAAAAGTAATCTTTTGTACTTAATTACAGAATTGGTATAGGCTTTTTATATAAGACTTTATAAAGTGAGTGAGTTTGCTGCTATGGAAAGCTTAGCTTTCTCAGAGGTTTCTTTTTTAAAAATCATGAGTAGCTGTTGTAATTTATTGACAGACTTTTTTTCTGCATCAGTTGTAACTGTTATATTTCTGTTAAGGTGCTTCTGCTGATGTTCACTGATTGATTTTTCAAATGATAAAGTAACCACGCATACTGGACTAAGCCACATACGGTCATGGTTTGTTTTCCATGCTATATGTTGCTAGAGTTTATTTGTTAAGGTTTTTACATCTATCATGAGGGATATTGGTTGGGTTTTTTTTTCTCAAAATAATTTTGCCAGGTATTTATATGTTGGGATACATAAATGAATTGGAAAATACTCACTATTTCTATTTAATGAAGGACATTGTGTGAGATTAATTTTATTTCTTTTTTAAAAATTCAGTAAGATTCATCAGTGAAGTTATCTGGGCCTGTAGTTTTAACTAAGGAGGGATTTTAAATTATAAATTTATTTCTTTGTTATAGACTCTTCGGAGTATCTGTTTCTGTCAGTTTTGGTAGTTACAGTTTTTGAGAAGATTTCTGTTTCATCTACATTTTTTGATTTATTGTCATAAAGTTGTTCAAGATACTCCCTGATTATCCTTTTTAAGTACATAGGAGATATAGGGATAACTTTTCCTTTATTCCTAATATTGGTCATTTGTGTTGTTTTCTCGATCAGTCTAGCTGGGGACTTATCAATTTTCTTGGTCTTTAAAAAAAAAAATCAACCTTATTGGTTTATTTTCTCAATTATTCTTTTTCTGTTTTATTGCTTTTTACTATTATCTCTCATTTTTTAGTGTTGTTCATTGTTCTTTCCCTACCTTTTTAAGGTGGAAACTTTGATCATTGATTTTGGATATGTCTTTTTTTTTCCTAAAATAAATATCTAAAGCCATAAATTTTCCTCTCAGTATTGTTCTAGTTACAATTCCTAAATTTTCAATCTGCAGTATTTGCATTATAATTTAGTTAAAATATTTTCTAACTTCCTTGGTAATTTCTTTTTTAACGTGTGGTTAATTAAAAATGTATTGTTTAGTTTCCAAATGTTTGGAGATTTCTAGATATCTTAGTGTGTGAAAATACCCCTTCCATTACCTCTGGCTGATGTTCACACTATATGATCCTCTACCCTTGAGTGTGAGTGGACCTGTGACTTCCTTCTAGCCAATAAGGTTTGGCAGTGATGAAGATACCACATCTGTTGAGATTGCAGCCTTTGTTCATATCTGGATTAATTCAAAAAAAATTATCTGAAAATAGAATATCTTAAACTGTCTTTGTTATTTAAAAGTATTGTATTTATTTTGAGATTTCAGTAAAATTTTTAAAAATAGCAGTGACAGGTTGTATCTTTTCTTTTTCTGTTTGATTTTCCAGCCTTATTCCTGTATTGGGTAATGGCCTTTATCACAAAAACCATAAAGCTGGTCAAATATTGGCAGTCTGGTTGGGGAATATCAGACCTGCGTTTCTGCATCACAGGCATAATGGTCATTTTGAATGGACTCTTGATGGCTGTGGAGATCAATGTCATTCGGGTCAGAGTAGGTATCTAATAATTTTTGTTTAGTTACTGGAGTTCAGAAGCAAATATTAAAGATCATGGTTAGCTTGGCATCATTAGTATTCAAGAGCTTATGCAATGATATATCATTTATATGTACAAATATAAAGTTGAGCAATTACTAAGTTCAGACCATTAGTTTTTCAGAAATTGCAATATGTCCCTGGAATCTATTGATTCATTCGCAAATATTGATTGAGTGCCTAGAATGTGCCAAACATTATGCTTAGTCTATATTATAGATTTAACTGTTTTCATCAGGAAGTTCTATCACCTGTAATTGGTCCAAAGCAAACCTGGCTCAATCAAATTAGTGTGTTCTCAGAAATGTCAAGCTGATAAGAAGATAGCTTAATCCACTTTCCTCATTTCATTGATGAAGAAACTTCTGTAGACAGAACTCTAGCTTTATAAACAAATTAATATGATCAAATCTCATACCCGGTCTGTGATTAGAAACCTATTGTACTTCCAGCCACATAACACTGCCTGTTACATTGTGTGACATACCAGTGATCTGTTTTTCGATGTTCATTTTCTGTCAGAGCACTCTGAATTTGCTCTGAATAGCAAGATACATGTTGCAATGGATAGTGGAAACAGTAAACATCAGCCAGACCACAAATTAATAGAGAGTGACTCAACAATGCTGTTGATAAAACATTTAAGCAATCTGCACAGTGTAAAAATCTTCATTTAGTTGACCAAATATCGTGAAATGTCAGGAAAGGATATCATGAAAGACTGATTTTTAATGATAACTCTTTTTTAAAGAGATAATTGATTTTTTTAAACATTCGCCTAAGTGTATTAAATATGAAATTCTGCAATTTAACTAGAATCTAGTCATAATAAAAGGGAACTTTTTTCTCAAAAGAATATTTCAGAAAGGGGAAAGAAGTATGAAAATATAAAGATTGGTCTCATGAAATGAAAACGTAAAAAAGGTTAAAAATTTATTTTTACTATGTGGGAAAAGAATTAGGTTAATTGTTACTCTGGAATTTTTCTTACCACAGAGATATGTGTTCTTCGTGAATCCGCAGAAAGTAAAGCCCCCTGAAGACCTCCAGGATCTGGGTGTGAGGTTTCTCCAACCATTCGTGAATTTACTGTCAAAAGCAACCTATTGGTGGATGAATACACTCATCATATCCGCTCATAAAAAGCCTATTGATCTGAAAGCAATTGGAAAATTACCAATAGCAATGAGAGCAGTAACAAACTACGTTTGTTTGAAAGATGCATATGAAGAACAAAAGGTAAGTCAGTAACTGTTTTTCATGCCCATGACTGTAGAGAATGGGCCTATTAATACAAAGGCACTAAGCTTAAATAATGTTAAGCTTTTGTTGTTTAGTCGCTTAGTCTTGTCCGACTCTTTGTGACCTCATGGGCTGTATAGCCTGCCAGGCTCCCCTCTCCATGGGATTTCCCAGGCAGAGAATACTGGAGTGGGTTGACATTTCTTTTCTCCAGGGGCTCTTCCCGACCCAGGGATCAAAGCCCTCTCCTGCATTGCTGGTGGATTCTCTTAAATAATAGTAAATAATATTTAGGGAGAGCAGATTTTCTCCATCTGTCTTTCCCAGTAGTTTTGAGTCATGTTAACTGGGCTGCTGGAAATATACTGGAAGAGCCAATGAAATATGTTATGTTAGTTGCCCAGTCACTACATGAGGAGGGACAGAGAGTGCTGTCTTTTCTCTGGCACCTAATGGAAAGTAAGAATTAAAATCAATAGTCATGTATGTCAAATCCTTGTCACCATATAATGTTAATAATCCACAGAGTTTTCATTGTTTTGTTTCAAGTATCTTAATAATTTTATTATTTAAGGGGAAAATAGATCATATCCATGAATAACTTTTGAGAAATGAAATTCTTGATTATTAATTAAAATTTGGACTCTGCATTTCAAAATTGGGGAATTAAATAAAGGGGCTTCATCTGCCTAGTCCATATATCACTCTATATGTCGGGCAAAATTGATTTCTTCTGGTATTTTCTGCAGGTATTTATAACTGCCTTTAAAAATTTAAATATGAGACTCTTTGGATATTTTCAATTTGTCTTTTTATCATTCTGAGTAGTCTTGTGTGCTATTCACAGTGGAAGATGTATTTTATATTGCTGTCACCTACAAATATTATTGTAATTAAAATATGACTACTTATACCAACATTGGAAGGGAGTACTGTGTGGTGGATCAGTTAAAGAGTTTTTGGCTGTTCTAAATCTAGATCAACGAAGCATTTATGGTAAATGATGAAAATGACCTCTGTTTTGTGTAAAAAATGTGTGTTATGAAATTAATAATCCAGGAAATGATTACTACAGATGAACCTGAGTCATCTCTCTGGTTTCACCTCTGGGAAAAGTATTGCATAGTTTTTTAAAAACTTCTAAAGATGAATAATATAGTCTAAGCATAGCTTTAGTTTTCTGAATGCTCTTGATAACAGATTTGCTTAAATATCAGTAAGCTTTAAAATATAATCGAATTATTCATCTCACAAGGAGTTGAATACGAAACACAATTGAACTCTACTGCATTGAGTTAGCTTCTTTGCCAAGACATAATTATGATTGTTCAGGTCTTGAAATCTTTTCAACAAATGATTATAGAAATATGATGCCACGAGTTGGCCTAAGCAGATATACTGTTCTTCATTTTGTGTCTCTTTAAGTAATAACTAGGAAGCATAAGTCTAACATAACTTTAAAAAGTATTGACCACATTTAATGGAGATAGGAAAAAGCAATTTGAAGCTGGGATTGATCTCAGAGGGAGAACCTGAAGAGACACGAGCGATCCTGAAGGGTGGATTTCCTGCCTGGTAATTAAACCTGGGTAACCTGGATGAAAACCAAGAGTCCTATCCACTAGGCCACCAGGAGTTAGAGAAAGCATAGTGGCCCTGGCTCTTGCCCCTATTTGAAAGCAAGAATGTTTCAAGGAGGGAAAAACTGTAGTAACCGGTACAAAGTTTATTATTAGAGATATAGCAGAATGCATGGGAGAGCATACAGGAAAACAGTTTGCTTATCTAACTCAGAACCAGGGCAGAGATACACACCCAGAGAAAAAGGGTATGGGCATCCTCTCTAGTGAGGAGGAGGGCAGTAAGTCAGAAGCTAGGCAGAGAGACACACCCGGAGAGGAGGTGGAGCATCCTGAGTGAGGAGGAGCTCAGTACAGAAGTGATGTAAATCACTTACATAGAACAGTCTCTCTGGGTCTTTGTTTACCTTTGGCCAATTACTTTCTTCCTTTCTTCACCCCTGACTGGCCCATGCACCCTCCCCAAGATGTGTGAGCAACTTTTCTCTAAGGTGGATCCCACCGCAGAGGCCTAGGTGTGCATGTCCACACTTACGGGGAGGGTTCCCCTCCCTTTTCAACCCCCAAGAAGCCTTCCAGCACATGTGCAGACAGGGAAGTCTTCCTTGACCTCAAGAGTGGGCACTTCATCTCTTTGCTTTAGCAGAGCTCAGCTTTTGCTACTAGCTTTGTCTTTGGAGTGTCTGGGTGAGAACCAAAGCTCCACTTGACAAACACCAGGTGTCTGGCCCAGAGGCACATGGTCTCCTACCTCAGGATGATCTCTTTTGTTTAGCTTGTAATAATTTGATAAGTGAATCTCTTGTGACCTAATATCTTAGATCTTAACTAAACTTCAGAAATCTTAACTAGACTGTCAATAACCTGTACTTTGTATTTCACTATTTTCCATATAGCCTCATTTGGTAATATTCATAACTGATATAGTCATTTACTAAATCAAAGGGAATTAAGCTTAATTTGGACTTTGGAAATTTAGGGTCATCCTTTGACAACTAAAAATAATACAAAATGTTGGGAAAATGTGCCTAGATACTCTTCATTCTCTTTCTTTCCTTAAAATGCATTCAGTAATGCATAGTTATGGAATCTAGAAAAATGGTGATGAACCTATTTGCAAGAATAAGAATAGAGGTGCAGACATAGAGAATGGACTTGTGGACAGAGTGGAGAAAGGAGAGGGTGGGATGAATGGAGAAAGTAACATTAAAATATATACATTACCATGTGGGAAATAGAAAACTAGTGGGAAGTTGCTATCTAACACAGGGAGCTCAGTCTGGTGGTCTGTGATAACTTAGTGGGGTGGGATGGGGGTGGGTGAGAGGCAGGCTGAAGAGGCAGGGGATGTATGTATACTTATGGCTGACTCACGACCTTGTACAGCAGAAATCAACACAGCATTGTTAAGCCATTAAGAATTAAATACATATATTACATACATATAAAGTTTTGGAATGTGTTCACAATTAAAATAACTAGCTAAATAAATGGAAATATATACTTAAAAATTAATTGTCTATTGGTTGCAAGAATGCAGGAATACCAAACTGTATGTAGTATATTGAAAGTAACTCGGTAACATTTATTTTTATCTTTTAAAATATAAGAACTACTAGAAGAGATTTCCATAGTGGCTAAGATTAATTGCCACTCTGTCATTTTATTTTGGTTCATCAAATTTTTTTTTTCTTTCAGAAAAAAGTGGCAGATGACCCAAATCGGACTCCATCTATATGGCTGGCAATGTACAGAGCTTTTGGGCGACCAATTCTACTTAGTAGCACGTTTCGTTATCTTGCTGACTTACTGGGTTTTGCCGGACCTCTCTGTATTTCTGGAATAGTTCAGCGTGTAAATGAAACCCAGAATGAAACAAATAATCCAACAGGAGTAAGTTTGTGGTGCCTTTGAATGGAAATATATTATTGGCAAATTTCTTTTAATCGTTACTTTTAAAAAAATGCAGTTTTATGAGCAGTGCAAACAATCTTATTAACAGAGAATTGAATGCTTTTTAAAAGAAAGAAAACTGTAATTTTCCTTGAAGAGAAAAACATTACTGTATGTATTCATTGAATGGATTTGGCCAACAAAATTATTTCTCAGATTCAGAGGCTATAAACATTTAATAGCATTTACTGTGTTCTGCAAATGATGCTCAGAAATTTCACATTGGTTATTTTATTAGATCTTTTTAGCAGTCTTGTAAAGAATTTTCATGCATGGTCCTTGGGGGTGGTTGAGTCACTTTTTTTTTTCCCTGATGGCTCAGATGGTAAAGAGTCTGTCTGCAATGTGGGAGACCTGGGTTCGATCCCTGGGTTGGGAAGATCCCCTGGAGAAATAGCAAACCATTCCAGTATGCTTGCCTGGAAAATCCCATGGACAGAGGAGCCTGGTAGGCTATAGTCTATGGGGTCGCAAAGAGTCGGACATGACTGAGCGATTTCACTTTCAATGGCCAGTGATGTGGGCAATGTGATTTGATTTGGTTTCCTATATAGTGAAAGCCATCACCTTGTTTCATAATGATCAGGCCAAGTCACATTATATTTTTATTAAACATTATGTTACTATTGGGGACTATATAGTGTAAAATATCTGCTGTTATAAATTTACAACCTTATATTTTCTATTCTTAAGAAAGTCTGCCTCATGAGCTTCCCAATTTCCTTCTAAAATAAGAATTGATTTCCCTAGTTTCACGTGTAGAAACTCTAGTCCAGATGAATTAGTTTTCCTTTTTTATTGTCTCAATCTGATTTCCAGTCCTCTTTTTTCACCTATTGGAATTGTACGCATTCCTAAAGCCTTCAGCAAATGCTGCCTTCTCATTGACGTGTTTTCTGATTGTCCTTGTTGGTGGAATTTGATTCTCCTTGGTCGTCTCCTAACACATTGTTCACTTCACATTGGCACTTGCCATAAATGCTATTTATAATGAAGCCTGTTATCTATGGATATGCTTATCTTTCTAGGTTGTGAGCTCTCTGAAGAGAATGACTATGAAGTTCCCATTTTTGCCCTCAAAACCCAGTTCCTTGAATATATTAATGCTCAATTGTTACTAATGTGAACCAGCTATTTTACCATTGAATACATGTTTGTGATGTTTTATCCCTACTGGCCTGTTATATACAGATATTGAAATCCCACATAGTATCCAATCATCCCTGTACTTACGTGTATTAACCATGTATTTTTCTGAGAAGGAAGAAGATTTACACATTTGTGTGTGTCCCCTGGAAAGACGAGGAAGGGACCAGAAGTATTTAGAATTTAACTGATTGAAACCATAAAAAAAAAAGTGGCTCAATTGACATGTTGTGTTTATCTGTTACTTTTCCCTCATTTATAACAAATAAGTGACCATATCCTACTGTTACAAACAAAAAGCTATCATTTGTATATTCTTATGGTGACTTCAGTTATAATCTGACTGAAATAGTTTTTAAAGTTATATTTTGTCACTGAAATTGTCTTGTGGGCAAAATAGCCAATTTATGTTTTTTTACCATTTATAATTTATGTTTTCATTATATGAATTAAGATGAAGATCAGAAAAAGTCAACTGTGTAGACTTTATTATTTTAAATTAATAAGGCTATGGAAATCGTATATTTGTCCCATTGGTCTTGCTGACATTGTAGGTTCTACTTCTAAATTACATACAATCTAAACTAACTTCTGTCTTGGTTTACTACTAATATTTTCCAGTTAACCAAGGTAGATTATATCTTTGTAGAAAATTATTAACTGAAAAAAATTTAGATGTACCTTTTTTCCTACAATCAGGCATTTCCAACAATCATAATGATCAGTTTGAAATTTATGTTCAACTGGTTTGTGTTTGTATCTGTTGACATTATGAGGAAAAGCCAAAATTGCCTTGCTCTGATTCATTCTACTGCTGTGTTATAAAGACATTGAATTTTTATATTAAGCAACCATGTATTATTTGATAAATGCAACTATATACTGGTATATGAATAATTTTAATTTATATCTTTTTTTTTCCTTTTGGGATAAGGCTTCAGAAATCCTCTCATCAAAGGAATTTCTTGAAAATGCTTATGTTCTAGCAGTTCTTCTGTTCTTGGCTCTTATTCTGCAAAGGACATTTTTGCAGGCTTCCTACTATGTGACCATTGAGACTGGCATTAACCTCCGTGGAGCCTTGCTGGTATGTACAAGCTCTGAAGGATCCTGACCACAAACCATTCAGTGATAGGAATAGTTGAGAATTCAGTTTTGTTTTTCTCCTTCCATTTTCAGTTTGATATTATGACATCAGTACTTTCAGGATCTACTTAATTTAAAAAAACATATAAAGCTGATTAATAAACCCACTGAATTAAAAATACTTCTAGTAATATATTAACATATTTTGAAATCTTGCATTTATTTACTTCTGTTACTGTTTGTTCCAGAGATTATGTTTAAATTTGAATGTATGTTGAGATTATATCATCAGGAAAAATAAGTTTGTATTTAGTTGAGGACTAAAAGTACCAATGCTGAAATAAAAATAATAGCTGACTTAAAATGGCATTATAAGGTTATTTCCTTTTTTTCAGGAAATTTAAAAATGTTAGTTTTTTCTATGCAAATAAATAAGCATAGTGTTGATTTTAAAATTTTGAGCTTCAAATATGTTTTTTTCCCTTTTTTGCAGGCCATGATATATAATAAAATCCTTCGGCTTTCTACATCTAATTTATCTATGGGTGAGATGACCCTGGGTCAGATCAACAATTTGGTCGCCATTGAAACCAATCAGCTCATGTGGTTCTTGTTCCTGTGTCCCAATCTATGGGCCATGCCTGTTCAGGTAGATCAATATAAGTAAGATTCTTATTTGTTGAGGAAGTAATAAGAAATTATCAGTTTTTAAATGTGTTTGCTTTTTCATTTGAAAAGCTAATATAATTCCAAGAAAATATGGAATGCTGATTTATGGTGAATGACAACGTTTTCCAGAAAAAGTTTGTGTCCTTTAAAAAGTTTGCTGACTGTTTCTGGTCAAAAGCGTCTTGGGACCCCTCTGCAACTTCATGTAGTAAATTGGTTCGACACCAGTTGTAGACATCATGTTGCTAAAAATGTAGCTAAAAAAAGGCTACTGCTTAGCCTTCCCCAGATAAATCATCATGAAATCCTACTGTCACAGCTGAGTTGACTTCCAAATAAACTTGATAGTCGTTCAGTTGCTAAGTCGTGTCCAACTGTTGGCGACCCCATGCACTGCAGCATACCAGACTCCCCTGTCCTTCACCGTCTCCCAGAGCTTGCTCAAATTTTTAAACTTAATAATTAAGAAATACTACAATTTCACTAAAAAATACTTCCTTTTATGCAGTGGTCCCCACATCCCTGTTCTTTCACCCCTTGTCTTCTGCTTTCCTTCAGATCATCATGGGAGTGATTCTGCTCTACAACTTGCTTGGGTCCAGCGCTCTGGTTGGTGCCGCTGTCATTGTGCTCCTCGCGCCAATTCAATACTTCATCGCTACAAAGTTGGCAGAAGCTCAGAAGAGCACTCTTGTAAGTAACATCTCTTGGAAACCTTATTAGGAAAATCTAGTAATGTGGTTTCATTTTTAAATATATAGGAAATTAATACCACTCAGGGTTCTTTGGAAATCATTAGATTGAAATGAAATACCAATATTTCTTTTCCTTTCTTGGGCAGTGAATGTGCATGTTCTGGGTTGCACAACAGTTTTTAAAAGTGGATTTGACATCTAAGATTTAATGACCTTAAACGCTAAATACCACCACAAAGCCTGATGTTTTTACAAGTCATGACGTGATGATGAGGCTTTAGATCTTGTAGATCACTTACTTACACTTAGCATGTACTAGAGAATACACTTACTTGTGCATTTGATCACATGTATATTGGATGTCAATTACTGACGTGGGACAAATGGATCAAGGAATAAATAAAGGGTCAGATTTAGTGCTTCTGAAATTAAATGCTCTCAGGGTTGAGTCAGACCACGTGATGAGCTACGGAGTTACACTGAAATGTTTCAGTAGCAGCTGCTCTGCCTGAGTGCGTTCATGGTCAACTTGGCAAGCAAGAAAAAGCTCAGTTATTGCCCCTTTCTGGCTTCAGTTGGTTTTCCCAGGTGGCGCAGTGGTAAAGAATCTGCCTGCCAATGCAGGAGATGCAAAAGATGATCTCTGGGTCAGGAAGATCCCCTGGAGTAGGAAATGGCAACCCACTCCAGTGTTCTTGCCTGGAAAATTCCATGGACAGAGGAGCCTGGTGGGCTGCAGTCCATGAGGCCGAAAAGAGTTGGACACAACTGAGTGCACGCACACACACACACACTCTGGCTTCAGTTTGCCCTGAAATCATTTTATTTGAGCAAGAATTGGCTTCTTTTAAAGAAATATTTGCAAATAATTATGACATCATGTTTAGAAATAAAGTTTGATTAAATATGAGCAAGTTTGCCTACAAATCAGGCATGAAATGTAGAGATGCTGCCACTGGCGGACAGTTTTCCAACCTGGTGTTTCCACTGCGACAAGCAAGTCCCTTGTCACGCAAAATGGTTTTTATCACTTGTTTTTCTGCTGCTTCTGGTGAGGTTACTCGTTACTCTAGGACGTGAGTACAGAAAGGTGTGGAAGAGAGACACAAAGAGGGGACATGACAATCTAACGTCTGACTCTCATGTTGCCATTCATACTGTCCTCATTCACTCACCAGCAATCATGGATAGGCAGTTAAGAGCCTCAAGAGACAAAAAGATGAATAAAATCAGATCATTTGCTAATGCCATTTGCAGCAAAAGGGATGTGACGAGTTTATCATCATACCAAATGAAGTAAGTCAGAAAGAGAAAGACAACACTTGTGTGTGGAATCTGAAATATGACACAAGTGAACCTATCTATGAAACAGAAACAGAATCAGGGACATAGAGAACAGACAGGTGGTTCACAAAGAGAAGGGCTTGGGAGCAGGATCGAGTGGGAGGTTGGGGTTAGCAGATATAAGGTTTTATATACAAAATGGATAAGCAACAAGGTCCTCCTGTATAGCACAGGGAACTGTATTCAATATCCTATGATAAACCATAATGGAAAAGAACATTTAAAAATAATGTGTATATATATATATACACACATATGTGTATATACACACACATATATAATTGAGTCACTTTGTTGTACGGAAGTAATTAACACAATACTAAAACTCAACTATACTTCAAAAAAATCAGATCATGCACTGCTTTTGCTTCTTCCTATCTACCTTCTGCCACTCTGCAGCTCCTTTTAAGAGTTCACAGGTGATACTGTACTTTCCTAGTAAATCTAATAGAATTTGGAGGAAGCTGGAAGAGTTGACTGAAGAGAGGCTTTTGTATCAGCCATGTCTCTACAGTTAATCCAAGTTGTTAGGAATCAGTAAATCTAATTTAGCAATATGTGAGACCAGGTTTGATCCCTGGGTCGAGAAGATCCCCTGGAAAAGGGAATGGCAACCCACTCCAGTAGGCTTGCTTGGAGAATCCCATGGACAGAGGAGCCTGGTGGACTACAGTCCATGGGGTTGCAAAGAATTAGACACAACTGAGCAACTAACACAACAAAATAACAACAAAATCTAATTTAGGCTCTGTGACAGAGCTTACAAAGAAGGAGGTAGGAATCTCTTTAAGATAATAGGCTTGGTTTCACTAAGTGTCTTATGAAGACTCACTATGAATACACGCAACAGTGTACACTCACATTCCCAAATCAATAGTGACCTAACTTTTTTTTACATTCATTATTTCTCATCTCCTAAGCATGACTTATAGAGCTGAGGGGAGAATTAAATGATTTAGGTATGAGAAAGCACCCTTGGAAGTCTCTTTATCAACTCCTTACATGTCTGTGTGTATTATCTGCAGACATCGTTCAAGGAAATCATATGAAACTTAAGACACTGTTCTTATTTAAACCAAAGCAAAAGAGGCATAAACAGTTTCTAGGTAGAAAGAAATTGGAGGCTGTCTCATTCATCTCTTCATTTTCACGTTGGAGGCAGAAGCACAGAGTTTCACTATTTCTCCTAGGAGTCTCACAACCATCATTAGAGCCCAAGCCAGGCAGAAATCAAGTTCTTCTCAATCCATATCCAGTAATGGCCTTGCCTCTCTGATTCACTTGGATGCAGCTTGCATTGTTTTTTATTCCTTCCTTTTATAGGATTATTCCACTGAGAGACTGAAGAAAACAAATGAAATACTGAAAGGCATCAAACTTCTAAAGCTATACGCCTGGGAGCACATCTTTTGCAAGAGTGTGGAAGAGACAAGAATGAAAGAACTCTCCAGTCTCAAAACCTTTGCTCTTTATACATCACTCTCCAGTAAGTTGCTATCACTCTGAGGACCACCAAAAACATGTGGTCAGTTTGGTGTGACTTAGGATCATTGAGACACTCTAGACATCAGAGGAAGTACATTTATTTTCTCCATTTGTGAGGTTCTGTAGCCACTAGCTAAACAAGTTTATTTAAATTTAATTTATTTTTGATGTAGACCATTTTTAAAGTCTTTTTGAATTTGTTACAGTATGGCTTCTGTTTTACACTTTGATGTTTTGGCTGTGAGACATGTGGAATTTTAGCTCCCAGACCAGGGATCAAACCCACACCTTCTGCATTGAAAGGTGAAGTCTTAGTGACTGGACAGCCAGGGAAGTTCCTATTTAAATTTAAATTAAAGAGCAAAGTCAGGATAAGCTTAAAGTCAAGTAGAACTGAATTTGACTCCTTGCAAGTTTCTATCTTTGCCATGTTACTTGACATCTGAAATCCTTGGTTTCTTCATCTGTAAGCTGGGGATGGTAATGATTAGGAGTCTGATCATTGAAACCCTCATTTCAGTTGCAGTTGGGATGCATAGTGGGTTTTCAGTAAAATTTTGCTTATAGAGAATAGACTTGTAGACCCAGGAGGAGGAAGGAGAGGTTGGAACGAATTGAGAGGATAACATTGAAACATATACATTGCCATATGTAAAATTAGGTAGCAGTGGAAATTTGCTATATGACACAAGGAGTTCAAATCCAGTACTCTGTGACAATCTGGAGGAATGAGATTGTCGCTCCTCTAGAGGAAAGTGGAAGGTGGGAGGGTAGTTCAAGAGGTAGGGGGCATATGTATACGTATGGATGATTCATGTTGATATATGGCAGAAACCAACACAATATTATAAAGCAATTATCCTCCAATTTTTAAAAAATGTAAATTAAAAAAAATATCAATTGGAAAAATATAAATAAATAAATTGATTTGGCTATATTACTATTGATTTTATCCCCTAAAATCCTTAAAAATTATCTGCGGTTGTCTTCCCTGTCTCTTGGGGAGCTTATGATATTATATTTCCTTGAAGATTGCACTTGAAATGCCAGTTTTGGAAACTGAGAGGAAAAAAGTCAACATTTCCAGGTGAAAAAAGCCAAACTGCATTTACATAAAACCCTATTTTTCCAGTACATGCTTAAGACTTTTTAAATACAAAGCTTTTCCTCCACAGCTCTAATTTTTAAAACATGATTGTTTCAAAAATATTGTTGTTGTTTTCCTCAAAGGGTGACACTGAGTACTTGTAAGAAGAATGAGTTCATGTTAGTAGAATTCTTATGAACTTAGCCAAACTACTCCCACTAATGTTTGATTTAGTTTGTATGTCAGTTTTGCTCCTTTCTATTGTTCTCAAGACTTTATTTGGAGGTTTATAGATGGTTTCCTCTTGAATTCTAAACTACTTGAGTCCTTAGAGATTATAAACACTTCTTTTGTGAAATGGAGGTAAGGAAAGTGTTTGGTTTATATAGCGTATTTATTTTAGCCCTAATGCTGGATTCATTAGAAAGGAAACGGGAAGGAGATTTATATTCCAGCTCTGCACCACGACTCATAGAGTGTCAAAATGCTAGAAGATGAAATGATTGATATCTACTTGCTTATATGATAGAACTGTAAGCTGCTGGCTCCTAAATCTATTTCTGTCTGCAGTATACTAAAGTTCTCATGGGGTAGATGGATGTGGCCAGAAATGGTGATGATTATAGTAACAGTAATTATGATAATAATAACAAAAACATTTTGAGATATTCAGTCAGTTTTGCTATAAGTGACTTTATATATATCGTCCTATTTAGTCCTCACAGCAGCCCAGTGATTTTGATTCCATTATTAACTTCATTTTGCAAATTAGAAAATTGAGGTTAGAGCTTAAACAACTTGAATTTCCCCAGATCATCCAACGGCTAAACAATAGAGGTGGGTTGTTTAACTCAACCCAGTTATATAAGATTTGGGTTAGTCTTTGAAAGTCAGAGACAAAAGAGGAGAGGACAGAGGAGACCATACTAGAAACAAAAAGCAAAGAAATCATGAAGGTCAAAGGGCATAGTCACTTTTTTATGATTGTATGCAGCAGGAATTCTTGGTGCAATGATGTGAAGTTCCACTTACACCATGTCCAAGTTTTATAATTTGATTACTTAGAGTGTTGGTGGTAGTGAAGAGCTTCCACTATGTGAGTTGAATACAGCTGGTTGTAAATCTCACCTCTGCCACTACATAGCAGGTTGGCTTTGACCAAATCACTGCTTCTGTTCTCCAAGCCTCAATTTTTTCATCCGTAACATTGGATGATAAAAATCCCTATCATGTAGGATTGTGATAAAGATGACAATAGATTAAAGAATGCTGCAGATGTTGATTGACTTGTTGATTGACTCTATTCCAGGCAGTATGTCAAGTGCTTTGTACTCATTGTGAATAAAGCACCTGGCAAGTGGGCTAGTGTTCAGTAGCCTCACTCACTCAGTTTCCTCCTCTAAAAATTGGTATAATAAAAATAATGCTTTTCTCAGGACTTCCCTGGTGGTCCAGTGTTTTAAGATGTCACCTTCCAATGCAGACGGTGCAGGTTCAACCCCTGGTCAGGGAGCTAAGATCCTACATGCCTCGCAGCCAAAAAAACAAAACGTAAAACAGAAGCAGTGTTCTAACAAATTCAGTAACATACTTCAAAGATGGTTCACATCAAAAAATCTTTTTAAAAAAAAGAAGAGAGAGAATACCTTCTCACAGGCATATTGTGAGAATCAAATGAAACAGTGAATGTGGCACTGTTCTGTAACTGTTAAAAATAGTTTATAAATGGTATTTGCATAAAACCGTAAGAAGAAAAAACAAAAGAAAAAAGTCAGCCATACAACACAGTGGGTATTGTTGGGTCTTGGAGTGCAGGCTGACCTCAGATGAAATCCTGCCTCGTTGCCTGTCCACTCTGCACCCTTGGTCAGCGTTTGGTGGCATCTCAGTTTCCTCATTAGGAAGTTGGGCTGTATTAAGCATACCTGGGGGAATTAAGTAAGATAATGTACATAAAAATGCTCAATCCATGGTATCGGAAAATATTGAAAAATAAAGTTAAACGGGACAAATGCTAATAGAACTGAAAATCCATCTCTATGAATCAGTGTTCTTTCCACTAGAAATGATATCTGGGGGCAAAAGAAATTCTGTTGAATCATTTCCTAGTCTCCACTGCCAAATGGATATGTGCTGTTTATGGATTTAATTTATTGGCAAAAAAAAGAATGAACGACACTTTTATTTTTTCTCCCTTCACTTTGATAGAGTTTTACATGGAGAAGTGGGAAGAACATGAAGCTTTTGACCAGAAAAGTGTGGGTTTTAATCCAAGCTGTATCATCTCCTAGTTTAGAATCTTGCCTTTTACTCATCCTTGCTGTTTTCTTTATTGCGCGGGAGTAGTTGTAATCGTTAAATAGGAGAATGCACGTGAAGGTGCTCCTATCATAGGTGAGTAATTGTGAGTTGCTGGGTAGTGGCAGAGCGAAGTGGTGGTGAGCACGGTCTGAGAAGCCCAGGTGTGTAACCTCGTGCGTCTCATTCTCATCTTTATGCTGAGATAGAAATGGTCCTGCTTCCTGCATTGGGTGCAGAGTGCCAGATAAGTAGTTTTTAATAAAATAGCAGCTGTTCTCGCTCTCCCTCATCCAGAGATAACTTATTTAAAGATATTTAGAATGAGTCATAAATAATGATATGAAGGAAAAGAAAAAAATACACTTAGAAAAAAATAAGGTAACACTAGGCAGAGAAAGATGATGGAAACATAGCTCTTCATCTGTACTATTATGATCTCAGAGTTGTGTTTGGATTGCTGGTACCGTACAAGAATTCAAATTTGGTAGCTAAGCCTCTTCTGGCCCTTTAAAAGCACAGGCTGAGTCTATATGTGGTGGTAAGGACAGTTCATGAAAACAGATCATGAGAGCTGGTGGTGATTTTTGGATGGATTCTCTTTTTTATTAATTAATTTTTATTGGAGTGTAGTTGCTTTGCAGCGTTGTGTTAGTTTCTGACCTACAGCAAAAAATGAGTCAGCCATATATACATACATGTATCCCCTCCTTTTTGGATTTCCTTCCTGTTTAGGATAACAAGGTACATTAAGTCCAGTTCCCTGTGATATACCATAGGTTCTTGTTAGTTACCTATTTTACACATAGTATCAATAGTGTATATGTATCAATCCCAATTTCCCAGTTCCTCCCACCCCACTCCTTTCCCCCTTGGTATCCATACATTTGTTCTCTATGTCTGGGTCTGTTTTTCTGGTTTGCACATAAGGTCTTCTATACCATCTTTCTAGATTCCACATATATGCATTAATATACTATATTTGTTTTTCTTTTTCTGACTTTACTCTGTATAGATGGACTCTTCTGAGTGTTGAGAAAATTAGATTCTAGTTCTTACTCTGCTGTTGCCTGGCTCTGTTACCAACAGTGCAGTTGCTTTGTGGTTCTCTGTCCCTAAAACTCTATGTTTTATGACAAAATAACTACAAATCATCAACTTGCCTTTTGATTTTTTTCCTGTTACTTCCAAATGCAAGTATTTTAGCCTAAATCTGAGTTTTTCTTATTTCAGTTCTGCGTATCATGCTTATCAAATGATAGTGCACTATAGTCCTGGAGAGAGAGTTAAACAAGCAGAGTGTCCAGGATATGGAGTTATTTTATCAAACAAAAGGTCTCTAAGTGAAAACTAATATCACTTCGGGAGGGAGATTTTTCACATAATGTCAAATTTGTGCTTTTTGTCTGTGTGTGAAAATAAAAGTGTTAACCGCTCAGCGTGTCTCTTTGCAAACTCATGGACTACAGCCCACCAGGCTCCTCTGTCCATGGGATTCTCCAGACAAGAATACTGGAGTGGATTGCCATTCCCTTCTTCAAGGGATCTTCCTGACTCCGGGATCAAACCCGGGTCTCCTGCATTGCAGGCGGATTCTTCACCATCTGAGCCACCAGGGAAGCCCCCTTTATCTGTGTAATATCCCAGCTTTCATATTTTTCAATTAGTTTAGTGGAAACAAAATGTAGACTGTAAATACTCTGAAGAATGTGTATTTGTTAAATTCTAATAACTTATTAAAGGATTATTTTATTTAAATTTTTCTCTTTGTAACGTTTCATAAAAATATAATTGGGGGGGACTTCCCTGGTAGTCCAGTGCTTAAGATTCCACACTTCCAGTGCAGGGGGTGGGGGTTCCATGCTGGGGAATAAGATCCAGCTTGGTGTGTGGCTCAGCCAGAAAAAGAAATCAATGCTCAAAAATAATTTTTCAATAAACTAGAACATTTTCTGGTTAAGATTCATGTGTGGGAGTTCACAACTGTGAACCAAGAAATACCAACTGGAAAATGTTTGTGGACTCAAAGACAAAATGTTATTTAATGCACTCAGTCCTTGAATGTCTTCAAGGAAAGTTAAAATAATAATGATTAATTAAAGCTCCTGAAGATGTTTCACAGTTCAATGACACTAATGCCTTTGCTTTCTTTCCACAGTCTTCATGAACGCGGCAATTCCCATAGCAGCTGTTCTTGCTGTAAGACATGTTTTCTTACCTTTAGAAATGGAAACAAGTCATTGTTTGGGAATGACTTAGGAATAAGCATGTGTGGGTGGTAACATGTATTACCACCTTGTTGCTGTCTCCACTGTGACGGTTCTAATCTGGGGTTTCTCAACCATGGCACTATGGAACTTTGGGCTCAAAAATTAATTCTTTGTGGCTCTGCATTAGGATGTCTAGCAGCATCTCTGGCTTCCACTTTTTAAATGCCATTAGTACCATCAAAAATATCCCCAGACACTGCCAAATGTGCCCGGGGAACAAAATTAACAGGCTGAGAACTTACTGTTCTAACATCCATGACCTGATTCCCGGACATTCTTACAACAGGATTGTACTGGATCAACAACCCAAATATGTTAAATGATTACATTTCAAAAGAAAAGGACAAACCCAGGAACTAGTATTACATTTAGAAATGTAAGTTTGCCTTGGATACCAGTGTTGGCGATTTTAGGAAAGAGTCACAATAGGGACCCCCAAACAATGGAATTTTCTTTTTTCTTTCTCAAAAAATGTAGTACTGGTTGGAAAGAGCCTGACCAGGTGTTAAGAACTCTGGATTCTCTCATAGTTATTTCCCCTTTTCAGTAATTCGACAGAAGTCAGTTTTCTGATCTTTAGAATCTGTTTTGCCCTTTTCACAAGTTTACTGCTACAACTAATGTAGACCATTAAGTACTCTAGTATTTTAGTACTTAAGTACTCAAGTGTTGTTTTTCTTAGGGAGTAATTTGGATGAAGTAATAGTATTTTTCAGAGTTGCAGTGGACCTGCTGGCATAGAAGAGGCTGTTTGGTTTGTAAAATTTAACATAAGTATTTGTGACACTTTCTCCAGCTTTCTCTAAAACCCTTTCTTTGCACAGACGTTTGTGACCCACGCATATGCCAGCGGGAACAGCCTCAAACCTGCAGAGGCCTTTGCTTCGCTGTCTCTCTTCCACATCCTGGTCACCCCTCTCTTCCTGCTCTCCACCGTGGTCAGGTTTGCAGTCAAAGCCATCATCAGGTATGTGCTGGGATGTCTGGTGTTTTTTGCTTGATTATAGAAATACTACTTGCTCATGTTGGCAGTGGTTTAGGCACTTCTGTTGTGTCCGACTCTTTGCGACCCCACAGCAGGCTCCTTTGACCACAGGAGTCTCGGCAAGAATACTGAAGTGGATTGCCATGCCTTATTCCAGGGAATCTTCCTGACCCAGGGATTAAACCTGCATCTCTTACATCTCCTGCATTAGAAGGCAGGTTCTTTACCACTAGCACCACCTTGAAAGCCTACATGCTCGTGGTAGTAAGTTAGAAAATGAATAAAAAGAACATCTTAATCACTGCCCAGAGATTACTTGGTATCAGAGATAACTTGTTAAAACTTTGCTGTGAGACTTTTCAGTCCCTTATTTCATGTAAAAATAATTACTCTAAAAAATAAAAATTTTGAATTTTTTGGTTATTTTTTCCCTCATTAAGACCATATGCATGATATTTACTGGCTACGTGATATTCCACTATTTGGAAGTATTTGAATTTGCTTAGTGGTTACCACTTCATTGGACATTTAGAATGTTTCTGTTTTCACCCTAACATAAATAACATTTGAGAGAAGCATCTCTTTATCTTTAAACTCTTCTCTGATTATTTGCTAAAGTCAGATTTCTAGACGTGCCAACACTCATTCTGATAGTGTGCATCTTCTTAAGGTGCTTAATGAGTATGGCCATGTGGTTTTCCATTAAAGGAGATATAGGTCAAAAGATGTAACAAGTTTTTAAGATTTTTTTTAATGAGTATGGCCATAATGTTTTCCAGCAAAGTTGGGCTAGTTTATATTTATACCAACAGTGATAATGTTCGCATCAACTCATATTTTCTGTTTTATTTTAGTTTAGTTTGGCAAAGAAAAAATAAATAAAATTCCAGACTCACAGTCTCTGCAAATGGGAAGACTTTGCAGAAATCAGTGCAGTGTTTTGTTCACCTTAACTATACTTTTATAGTGTTTCTGATCAGTGTGGACCTCACCTTCGACTCACAATGTCCCATAATGCACAGTTATAAAAAGATGTGATCTGATAGTAACCATTTCCCCACCATTTTTGCTTGTATTATATAATACATATGTTAGAAAACCACGTTATACTACACCGTTTGTGCTTTAGTCTCCTATATTTGATAGGTATTCTTAAGATAGTATTTTGCTTTTTGCTATGAAATTTTATAAACCTTATAAAACCTCAGCATGTTTCATAAACAGTATTTATCGTATTTACATGTGGCCTTTGAAAAAAAACCAAGATGTTGCAATACAGAAATAAAACTGGAAAATTGAAGCCTTAACTATACTAAGCGTAGTGTTGCCACTGCTAGTAATGTGGAGCATCTACCATAAGACCTTTAAAAATGAGTAAATTTCCAAATATTTATGTATTATTGGGAAAACTGGTATTTAATATTCAAAATAACAGAAGCTCCAGTTTTAGGCAATAGTATATAGTGACTTAATGACTTAATACAAAATATCATTATGATGTGTATAACTTGTGTTAGTTGCTCAGCCGTGTCTGACTCTTTGTGACCCCATGGACTGTAACCTGTCAGACTCCTCTGTCCATACTGTTCATGGAATTCTCTAGGTAAGAATACTGGAGTAGATAACCATTCCCTTCTCCAGTGAATCTTCCTGACCCAGGGATCGAACCCCGGTCTCCTGTATTGCAGACAGAGTCTTTTACCATCTGAGCCACCAGGAAGCCCCAATGGTTAGCTCACTGCATTGTGTGGGAAATGAACCAAGGTAAATGCTTGGGTAGATGGGTGAACTTAACTCAGATGACCATTATATCTACTACTGTGGGCAAGAATCCCTTAGAAGAAATGGAGTAACCATCATTGTCAACAAGAGTCCAAAATGAAGTTCTTGGAGGCAATGTCAAAAACAAGCCATTCAAGACAAGCCATTCAATATCACAGCAATCCAAGTCTATTTCCCAACCAGTAATGCTGAAGAAGCTGAAGTTGAATGGTTCTATGAAGACCTACAAGACCTTCTAGAACTAACACCCAAAAAAGATGTCCTTTTCATTATAGGGGACTGGAATGTAAAAATAGGGAGTCAAGAAACACCTGGAGTAACAGGCAAATTTGGCCATGGAGTACAGAATGAAGCAGGGTAAAGGCTAATAATAGTTTTGCCAAGAGAATGCACTGGTCATAGCAAACACCCTCTTCCAACAACACAAGAGAAGACTCTACATATGGTTATCACCAAATGGTCAACACTGAAATCAAATTGATTATATTTTTTGCAGCCAAAGATGGAGAGCTCTATATAGTCAGCAAAAACAAGACCAGGAGCTGACTGTGGCTCAGATCATGAACTCCTTATTGCCAAATTCAGACTTAAATTTAAGAAAGTAGGGAAAACCACTGGACCATTCAGGTATGACCTAAATCAAATCCCTTATGATTATACAATGAAAGTGAGGAATAGATTGAAGGGATTAGATCTTATAGACAGAGTGCCTGAAGAACTATGGATGGAGGTTCATGACATTGTACAGGAGACAGGGATCAAGACCATCTCCAAAGAAAAGATCAGAAGGAGGCTTTACAAATAGCTTAGAAAAGAAGAGAAGCAAAAATCAAAGGAAAAATCAAAGATATACCCATTTGAATGCAGAGTTCCAAAGAATAGCAAGGAGAGATAAGAAAGCCTTCCTCTGTGCAAAGAAATAGAGGAAAACAACGGAATGGGAAAGACTAGAGATCTCTTCAAGAAAATGAGAGCTACCAAGGGAACATTTCATGCAAAGATGGGCACAATAAAGGACAGAAATGGTATGGACCTAACAGAAGCAGAAGATATTAAGAAGAGGTGGCAAGAATACACAGAACTATACAAAAAAGATCTTCACAACTCAGATAATCACAATGGTGTGATCACTCACCTAGAGCCAGACATCCTGGAATGTGAAGTCAAGTAGACCTTAGGAAGCATCACTACAAACAAAGCTAGTGAAGGTGATGGAATTCCAGTTGAGCTATTTCAAATCCGGAAAGATGATGCTGTGGAGGTGCTGCCCTCAATATGCCAGCAAAATTGGAAAACTCAGCAGTGGCCACAGGACTGGAAAAGGTCGGTTTTCATTCCAGTCCCTAAGAAAGGCAATGCCAAAGAATGCTCAAACTACCACACAATTCCATTCATCTCACACGCTAGCAAAGTAACGCTCAAAATTCTGCAAGCTAGGTTTCAAAAGTACGTGAACTGTGAACTTCCAAATGTTCAAGCTGGATTTAGAAAAGGCAGAGGAACCAAGATCAAATTGCCAACATTTGTTGGATCATCGAAAAGCAAGGCAGTTCCAGAAAAACATCTATTTCTGCTTTATTGACTATGCCAAAGCCTTTGACTGTATGGATCACAATAAACTGTGGAAAATTCTGAAAGAGATAGGAATACCAGACCACCTGCCCTGCCCTTGAGAAATCTGTATGCAGGTTGGGAAGCAACAGTTAGAACTGGACATGGAACAACAGACTGGTTCCAAATAGGGAAAGGAGTATGTCAAGGCTGTATATTGTCACTCTGCTTATTTAACTTATGTGTAGAGTACATCATGAGAAATGCTGAGCTGGATGAAGCACAAGCTGGAATCAAGATTGCTGGGAGAAATATCAATAACCTCAGATACACAGATGACACCACCCTTATGGCAGAATGCAAAGAACTAAAGAGCCTCTTGATGAAAGTGAAAGAGAAGAGTGAAGAAGTTGGCTTAAAACTCAACATTCAGAAAACTAATATCATGGCATCTGGTCCCATCACTTCATGGCAAATAGATGGGAAAACAGTGGAAACAGTGACAGACTTTATTTTCGGGGGCTCCAAAATCACTGTAGATGGTGACTGCAGCCTTGAAATTAAAAGGCACTTGCTCCTTGGAAGAAAAGTTATGACCAACATAGACAGTATATTAGAAAACAGAGACATCACTTTGCCAACAAAGGTCCATCTAGTCAAGGCTATGGTTTTTCCAGTAGTCATGTATGGATGTGAGAGTTACTATAAAGAAAGCTCAGCACCGAAGAAATGATGCTTTTGAACTGTGGTGTTGGAAAAGTCCCTTGGACTGCAAGGAGATCCACCCAGTCCATCATAAAGGAAATGAGTCCTGAGTATTCATTGGAAGGACTGATGCTGAAGCTGAAACGCCAATACTTTAGCCACCTCATAGAAGAACTGACTCATTGGAAAAGATCTGGATGCTGGGAAAGATTGAAGGGAGGAGAAGGGGATGACAGAGGATGAGATGGTTGGATAGCATCACCAACTCGATGGACAGGAGTTGAGTTAACTCCAGGAGTTGGTGATGGACAGGGAGGCCTGGTGTGCTGCAGTCCATGGGGTCGCAAAGAGTTGGACATGACTGAGTGACTGAACTGAACTAAACATCTGCTTGGAAGCAGCTATGCTCATGACTATACTGCCACACCTTATCTTATTATAAAGCAAATTGTGATTGGTTACACTAATTCATATCATGATCATTACAATCCTATTCTGTAAGATATGTCATTTGTAACAGACTCTGGAGTGGTTCAGCATTTAAAGCTCAGGCCCTCTGGACTCATCTGCCCTCATTTTCTTTGCTCATTGTTCTGCCTTCTGAAACACTTGTACGGATCACTGACTGATTTCTGTAGCACCACTTCCAAATTAGGCAGTGCCCTGGAAGAGAAGCCACTTCAAACAGTAAAACTGATAAATGGCCAGAGTCTGCTATTTTGGTTCTTATTTTCATTTTCTCCATTTAATAGTTGCCCCTCTCATTGCTGCCTTCTTAATTGAATTTGACTTTGTGCTACAAGTAGAGATAGAAAACAGTTGATAACTAATAATAGATCACTCCTCTGAAATCATGAGGCTGCCAGGTTGCAAGCAGTGAAAGAACTTTAACTATGTTACTATGAAAAAAACCACACACTAATTAATCTAGGGGTGTGGGTTTC